GTCATGTTTTCCTCTGAAAAAAAGTCCTGCATTAGCCGTAAATAAATATATAAATTTTTTTCATGACGAGTCTCCGAATTATTAGAAATAGAAAAAAATACGCTGAATTACTGAAAATATGAATCTATGGCGAATTTATCCTGGATTCTTATTATAATCCTTACGAGTTTTCATTGCTATAAGGCAATTTCCACGATTATAATAATCTCTCTCGTAAAATGACCGCCTTAATCACTTATATAGCACAGCAACAGAGGGGCGCCGTCTTAAAACGTATAAAGTTAATTTTTCACAAAATTCAAAATAAACTTTTTTATTGACATATGACAACACATGTAAGACGCCGCCAAGTTAGACCAGACCACCTGTTAACTCTGGATAACCGATGTCAGTGGTTATTGCAATTATATTTTAAACAGTGGCATTTTCTTATTTTTATGTTAAAATAATGGAATATTTAATAAAGGAGCATTTAATTCCATTTCAATTAATGACATCAAAGTCATTAATCATCTTAATATCCTCTCTCTTACAATATAACATATCAACGCCTTCAATACATATCACATCAGCTGAGAGACGCCGTCAAGTTATTCCATCCGTTAACTCTGCATAATTACTGTCAAGCCCTATTGCAATTAATTTTATTTTTCTGATCTCTTTTCCAAATAAATACTTAATAAATTATTTTTATTAAATGAAGGAACACCATAAAGTCCCTTATTTTATATTCATTTATAAAAATCAATGTCATTAATTAAGCAGAAGTCTCTCCCTCTCTCTTGTAATATAACATCTCAACGCCTTCAATATATATCACGGCAGCTTAGAGACGCCGTCAAGTTATCCCACCTGTTAACTCTGCACAACTACTGTCATTGCTTATTTCAATTGTTTTTAAACAGTTGTTTTTTTTTTCAAATAAAGTGAAATTTAATAATTTATTCTATAAAGCAATATCATAAAGTGAATTATTCTCGTCCCATTCAACGACATCAAAGTAATTATAACCAGTCTCTCACAATATAACATCTCAAAGTCTTCAATACATATCACAACAACTAAAGGACGCCGTCAAGTTATTCCACCTGTTAACTCTGCATAACAATTGTCAGAGGTTTTTGCAATTACATATTAAACAATTGCAATTTAGTGCCGCCTTTCTTTATAAAACATTCATTTTTAGATTGATATAAACTTGTGATATTTTATGTTTAGTCGTCTTATGTAATGTAAAATAATAGCATTTAATTTTATCTAGAAATTACAATAGTCTTACATTGCCAATGTAAGCTTAGTGTCTTTGAATTAATCATCACATTACAAAACCGCAAAAGATATGAAATATCTCAAAATGTAATATTGGTTTTATGCAAGGTTTCTTTGTAACTAATAATAACTGATATTTAATTTAGTTAGTGCGTATTATTAAACGCTAACTATTTTTAGCTTTTTTCTCCATGTAAAAATATTATCTTTCAAATTTAGTATCTACACAAAAAATTAAAGTAATCAACCTGTCGTCTGTCATATTTTCATATTTGTTTAGTAAACCAACAACAACAACGAGAAAGAGACAGATTACATTCTTCCTTATTTATTGTGTTTTAACAAAAGATAAATATATAATTATTATTTCAACTGATAAGTAATTTCTCTAAAACCTCATTTTGAGAATAATAATAGCTGGTACTTGTGATTATCTCCGTTAGATAAAATAAATAATGATAAAAAATAAATCATAAATTTTCTTTCTGTTCTTCAACACTCGTTGATTGCACAATTAGTTAGTTAATGTTGGAACGACCAGCAAAATTATCAAAATGTCATAAAACAAAAAAAGTACTGGTGGGAGATATGCCTTTTTTTAACTGACTGAGTGGCTGGTTGGGCTGGCTAACTGACTGATTACCTGAATGTGTTGTGACGGCCTTATCTCCTTTGCAAACAGCTTCTGTTGGTTGTCACCTGCCTGCCCCACAATCATAATCATAACAATACAAATAAGCAATGGTCTTTTTTGTTGATATTATTTGTTGCTGTTGTATTATATGTTTAGCGACCAATAACCCATCAATCGTATACAACAATGGTTCGGCCACATTGTGATAACAACAATTGATTTAGTTTCCTGTTTTGTAAAAAAAATCGAAACAACATCGGCATTTGATATTACGTAGTTTCTTTTCTTCTATCGAAGATATATGTATACCCACACACACACTCTGGCCACATTTATAACAAAACGTCAGCAGAGTAGTACCACCTCTCAATACATATCTATAAATAAATGTTTGCAATTTTATTTTTTTGCTATGCACAAAAACCGAACAACAACAAAAATACCAAATATTCAAATTTTTTTCGGCTGCTTGTTGTTCAAGACAAGGGCAAAGACCGCCGCCGCTGCTGTCAATGCGTACAAAATGAAAATAATGACGAAAGCTAAGATACAGTTTCTTTCTAATTGTTTTGTTTCGTTTGCTCGTTTCATATCTATTTAACAAAGAAAAAAATATTTGGTTTGTTTTCTCTTTTTTTCTCCCCCACCATCGTCTAATCTTTTGGAAAGATAACTCTTAATGGCGACCATATTGAAAACATTTAAAGAAAGTTACATTAATGATGTGGTGTATTCTATTATACTACATTATTCTGAATTGTCATATTTCTATAAAAAATATATATTTTATTAATTTAAAACTCAAAATCTAATTGCGGTAAAAACATTACCACTTTCCTTACATGTTACAACAGGTGGGAGGAGACGCCGTTAAATTTGCTCGCCTCTAAACTCTGCTTATTTGGTGTATACATTCATTGCAATAATTATCGAACTTTTAGGGGTTTTCTTTTCTTTTTTCTAAATAAATGCCCAAATTTAATAGTTTATTGAATAAAATTACACATTTAAACCAACTAATGCACCCATTCCAAAATCCGCATTTTGTAAAATGTCACCGGCTTCTTTTCATATCACAACATGTGAGAGACGCCATGGCACATCACAGCATTAGATCGCCGTCAGTCTTATTACATATCACAACAGGAGTGAGACGCCGTTAAATTTGCTCTCCTCACAACTCGGCTTAACTACAATTATTTTTTAAAAATTATTGAAATTTTTACGAATCTTTTTTTCTTTACTTTTTCCTAATATAAAGGCGAAATGTTATAATTTATTTAATAAATTTTTCACATTTAAATCTGGTTATGTCAAATCGCTATTTTTAAAGAACATCTAAGAGACGCCGTTAGATTAGACATCCGTCTTTTAACTCTATCATGTCTACTTTGGGTGACATTTGAAATTTACTTTTAATTTTGGAATATTGAATATTATATTTTTACAGCAATATTAAAATAAATATGTAATTAAGGAATTTTAAACATTTAAATTAATTTAAAAAACTATATAGTCTTTTAAATTATAACGCCGTCGTCGTCTCAGGGTTTTTAATACACACATCACAACAACAGCACAGACTCCGCCAAATAATGTTTATGTTTAGCATATATTCCCAATGGTTTTTAACTACTTATGTGTTAAATAGTCTTTCTGTTTTAATTCCTTTTATACTAATATAGCACTATATAATGCTCTTACATTAAAATAAATAGAAGATATAATTATTTACTTAAAAATTATCGAAATTCAATAATTCTGTGCCGTCGTTCAATTGTAAAACTCATTAAAAAGTGATTTACAACAATAAAACGTCACCGACGTTAAGACGTAGAACAACAGCTGATAACGACGTCGAGTTAAGTCACATTTTAACTCGATTCAATATGGTTTTTATAAGGTTTGCTACAAATAAATCCTAAATATCAATATTCCCTTCTTTGTTGTATTTATGTTAAAATAAATTTAACATGTAATTATTTATTAAAAAAGAACAAAATTTAATTATTTATTTCAAAAATACAACATATGATCATTTAATGACGCCGTTTAATTGTTAACTTCTTCACTATGGGATTTACAATGAAACGTCACCGCCTTCACCCTCTCAATAGTACAACAGCTGAGACACGCCTTCAAATTAGCCCGCCATTTAACAACAGTATTTTAAATATCAGTATTTTTCCCCTCTTATTTTCCCTATGTATTTTTATTAAAATAAATTTTAATTATTTAAAAAATAACATTATTTATTTAAAAAATACAACATATCATTTAATGACGCCGTTCAATTTGTAACATTTTTTGCTAAGGGATTTACAATGAAACGTCACCGCCGCCGCCCTCTCAATAGCACAGCAGCTGAGAGACGCCGTCAAATTAGCCCGCCATTTAACAACAGTATTTTAAATATCAGCAATTTCGACTTTTTTCCTTCTCATTTTAAAGAAATTCAAAACTAAAGCATTTAATGCTGTGGTATTAAAGTTAAGTTATATTCAAGTGGTAGGTTAGTACGTCATTACCTATTACGTTGAGATGAGATTACATTTCCATTGACATTTGTTTTTATTCATTTGCAACAGCTCTCTTTGCTGCGCCTCACGGTACTTGGATGCCGGGCTGAATCCCTAAAAAGTCATTAATCTTCCTTGGCAAAAGTTAATGACAGTTGCTGTTATTCTTACCGATGGTCAAATGTAGTAATGGGGGATGGAGTGATGTGTGTGCGTGTGTTTTGACATAAGCAAAGTGCATTGCCTGACGGTCCGGTCTTCCTTCCCGGTGACTGACTGACGTGTTTGTTTGTTAATTCTTCTTGTTGTATACAAAAGCAAATAAGAAGAGAACGAACGGTACTATTTAAAAATACCTTGGAGAATATTGTTTATCTTTTCCATACATTTCATTTTTTCATTGTCAACATTAACGCGTCATTCGTCCTAAAAATCAACGTCATCATCAAGAACAGAATATTTACCTTGTTGGCGTGAGTTTGTGCGTGTGCGCCTGGGTTGTTGCTGCCATAATGATTAATAACATTGAAGTGTTAATCAACTTTTGGTTGAGGGACCTAATATTATGTGGTCCTAATATGGAAATTCACATAAGAAGAAACGACAGGTTGATGATGACAGGTGCCACTGATGGTTGTGGTGGCAGCAGTATTGCTTTAAATCACATGGGAGCCAATGATGTTGTTGGTGGTGACAACATATGCTTAAATAATTTCGACACAGATGTTTTCACAATGGATTTGTGTCAACAGCGGCAGAAACAAGCGCCATCGACAGTGGCAGAGGTGGAGAGATTAGTTTATGGCAAAAGAAACAATCGCAAACGTATTGCAATGTTACTACATGTTATGGCCGAAATACATCAACTCGCTTTGTTAAGTCAACACAACAACAACAGTTGCACATATCGTGAACTGTACTATAAAAATATTTACTTACCGTGTAATATGTTGCAAATTAACAGGGCCGTAGAAGATGTAGGCTCCCTATTGGGGCTAACAGCATGGGATATGGGTGTGTTTGCCACAGGCAAGGGTATGGTTGCAGGTAATAAATCAATTAGAGTTATTGTTTTTCATTTAAATTTATTATAATTTTATTGCATTAACATTATAGGCCCTCTATATATTTATATGAACAATGGTGATGTCATAGATTGCCACAAAACAAATACACCCACAATGATACCACCCCATTTTACATACATTGATCATTTCGAAACATCGGCCTTATTGGTGTTGGTGGTGGAAAAGGATACCATATTCAAGAAATTAATTGCCAACAATATTTTTCAAATAATGCAAGGAAAATTGCTACTACTAACAGCTCGGGGTAATCCTGATTTATCAACACGTTGGCTTTTATCAAAATTGGGCCGACAACATAATCATTTACAATTTTATATGTTAGCTGATGCTGATCCATATGGTATTGAAATTATGTTAACTTATCGTTATGGTTCACAAAAATTTAATCAATATGCTGAACAATTATCCTGCTCTCAACTCAAATGGTTGGGTATACATCCCTCAGATATTTGTTATAATTTGCAGGTTCCCCAGGAGCCACTTTCCTGTAGAGATTTTAAGAAAATTGAATCAATTTTGAAACGCCTTTATGTTACCGAAGAAATCCATTGGGAATTAATTGTTCTGCAACATCATGGTTTCAAAGCTAAATTGGATAATATGTCAAGCGAATGTTTTGCTTTATTTATCCATGATTATATTATTAATAAAATTAAGAGGCAAATTGTATTGTAAAATGAAATTGATTGGTATATTTCAATAAGGAAGCAAATGTTATTTTTTTTAATTTTGTGTTAATGAAAAGAATTTTAAGTTAAAAAAAAAACAATAAGAATAAGAAAATTTTTCATAAAATGAACTAAGAAATAAATTCTCTTTATTTTTTGGGTTTTTAAACCGTAAAATGTTACACAAAACAAATTTAAATTGAGTGGGGTTGGGAAGGGCAAAAAACGCTATACTTCCTTTCAGTCTCCATTGAGGGTAGCAAAATTACTTCAGAAACTCAAGGCTTTGGGGATCCACTTTGACGAAAAAATCAGGGCTTTGGGGCAAGAAAAAAATTCCATTTAAAATGATGGGAATACTTCTGGGACTTCATGAAGTTAAAATAACATTTAAAATTTAATTATTTATTAAAAAAATTACATTACTTATTTTAAAAATTACATTATTTATTTTAAAAATTACATTATTTATTTTAAAAATACAACATATGCTAGAAAAAATCTATTAAAAAATCCACGACCTCTAGGACTTAATAAAGGCTTAAAAAGTTCAATTAATTGGAGTCAATTCACAATAATGCATTTTTTACAGCAAGCTTCAGAGGCAGCTGATATGCAGCTTGCCTCCCGGGGTGACCTTATTAATAGGCCTTGTACATAAAGAGCAGTATTTATGGTACACTGCGTTTACACAGAGCAGAGCTACAGGTGATCCAATTCAAACATTAATAAATCTATGTTGGTATGGTGTGAAGGAACTACTTCTTCGGCTGGATGTGTAATTTAAATCTATATTTTTTCAAAACCTGTTTTTATTAATTTTTAAATAAACTAACGTAATTTTTTGCTTCTTCTCTCTTTCCAGACAGACACCTTCAAATTGTTTTTTGATTTGATAAATTTATATATTTTTTGTGAAAAAAATACAAAGCCTAACAGCAACCTTCTTTCGTACGCCCATGAAATCTTAATGAAATATGGAAATTGTGCTACTACTATGAATGGTCTACTAATGGAAGAACAGCAGCAGATACAACGTACTTAGTCGTCAGGATCAAACGTTACATCTCTCAAAAAAATAGCACAAGCTGAAAACAAAAACACCCACTTTGACATATACACACGGAACATCATATGAACCGACTTCCTCCTCCTCCTCACCCCTTGGAACAACTTTTGAAGGAATGTTTACAACAACAGGAGAAATAAAATATCAGCAACAACAACAACACCACTTGTAAAAACGGAACGCGTTTTTGGGATCATCAATAATACCAGACATAACCTACAAAACTGAAACAAAAATTTGAAAAGTTGAAAAAATTGCATTTAACTGCAATTTTTTGGAGATTCAAAGTTTTGTGGTGATAGACGATAGACTTCTCCCGCCAAATAAACCATAAACAACGCAACACCCCCGCACACATAAAAAAGCACACACAGCCAGCCGGTCGTGGTGACAGCAGAGCAGAATCGCGAGCATTAACGAAAAAGTAACCAGAAGACCAGATAGATTATCACCCGCAGTGTTTTATCGAATTTTGTTGTTGTCGTTTTTATCATTGTAATTAGGCAAACCATCACCACCAAACACCGCCTAGTAGTAGTATTTGTGGCAAATTACCGAATGAATTAAAAATAATGTCAACAACAATGCGCACGACACTGCAAACAGTTCCTGAGTCGTTGCCCGCCGCCGCCGACAATAGTGCAGCCACAGCAGAGGGCAATGCAACATCGAAGCTGCTGACATCGTCCACAATAACGACAACAACGTCGGGCTCGGCCGGCGGTACAACTACAACAAATGGCACAACAACCCCAACGACAAATTCGGCTGCTGCCGCGGCTGGTGGCGTGACATCGCTACAACAAACAGCCCAGCCCCAGTCCTCACAATCGCAGCAGCAACACAGTGTGCATAGTTCAGTGCAATCGGTACAAGATACTCATCATGACTCCACAAATGCAAATACCATTGTACTGCCTTCGACGACGACAACATCAGCCACCTCGTCGACCGTTGCCAATAATGTAACGCCAGCCAATAATACTACGGCCACTTGCACTTCGAGCATTGCGACATCTTTAGCCAATGCCAATCAGACACAAAACAATAGTTCTTACCAGCAGCAACCGCCACCAGCCCAGCAACAACAACATCATGCTCCATCGACACCATCACAATCGTCATCGTCGTCACAACATCATTGCCATGTTGTCGCTGGTGGTGTAGCGTCAAATTCCGTTACGGATGGTAATTCTCGCTCATCAGCAGCGGCGGCCGTTAACTCCTCTGGCGGAGGCGGTAGTGGTTCATCGTCATCCAATCATCACCACCATCATCATCATGTTAGCAGCAGCAGTGGTGGTGGTGGCGGTGGAAGCAGTGGCGGTAATGCTGTTGTCACCGGTGGTGGTGGCGGCGGCGGTGGTACATCGATAATAAGCAAAAATGTTGTTAGTGGTCATTCGAATTCCGCAACATCGGCTTTAAAACAAAGGACTTCTTCATCAGCAAAGGTAAGTTGGAAAACAAAACCTACACTTGTTCTATATTGCAGTGGAATGGTGGCATACACACATACACAAGAAGTACAACATTTGTTTGGAACCTCTGCAGCATAACTTGCAAGAAACTATAAGCCTCCGCTAGCTACTTGCAACAACTTGCACTAAACTTAGTAGCTAGGTTAAGTCCAAGTTGTTGCAAGTTATGTTCCAGTTGACTGCAAGTGTATGTATATTGTGTGAGTGTGTGTATGTATGCGACACATACTTGCTGCCTTTCTTTGTTTCTTTTATTTCATCTTACAAAAAACTATTTCTATTGAAATGACAAACTTCCGCCACAGACATATGTGGGTCGTCGTCGTCTTTTTCAGGTTTATAATCTTGCCCAACCAACCAACTACCTTCCTACATAAAAAATTATAGCATACATACATACTTGCATATTTCTTTAAGTATTTTTTATTATTATTGAATACTAGTTTTTTTTTTGTTCTTTGCATAGCAAAGTGAAAATTTCTGAAAGAAATTTTTTAGACCATTTGAGAGTAGGTTTTTTTTGGAAATGTTATTTGTTTGCAAAAACTTGCTGATCATCGGCTGCCAACATAAATAATTGGAAATGGGGTTTTTTACGAAGAATAATGTGGGAAATAAGAGGACATTGAGGCTGTACCAATTTTTTTTTTTATTTTTTAAACCTAATCCTAAGCCTTCGCCGCCTTCCACTGTGGGCAGACAATTTTTTTGTGTAAAACTCCAAGTTTTTGTCGCCTCCACTGAGGGCAGACATATTTATAGAAAAGATCCACACCTTTGGATGTCAGAAAATTCCTAAAAAAATCATACTTTCAAATGATACTACAAAAATGACTATAAAAATTCGCGAATTTGAAAATCAATTCACAACAATGGTTTTTGAGAACTAACTTGAGATGCAGCCACCCTGGTCTCCCTGGATGACCTTATTAATAAACCTTGGCTTTAATAATTTAATAAATTAATAAAATTCCTTTCAAAAATTCTTTAATTCATACCCCTCGTTTGAGCGATTTTACACTACAACGGCGTTTTTATCCCAGAAGCGTCGGCGTCGCTGAAAGTTATGCTCTGTTAAAGAACTGACGTCAAATCCACGCTTGTCAATTATTTTGTTTATATTTTCGTAAGTTTCCATAAGTGGATTCGGATTGTCTTGTCGTTTCATCTATTAATTAAAAAAATCAATGCTTTTGTGAATGATTTTGCACTACAACGGCGTTTGTATCTCAGAAACTCCTCGTTTGAGCGATTTTACACTACAACGGCGTTTTTATCCCAGAAGCGTCGGCGTTGCTGACAGTTATGCTCTGTATAACAACGTAAGTCAAGCGATCGACTCCAAACGCCGAAATCCCCAAATGTCAATTGCTTTGTTTTTTTTTTTCATTCGGATGGTCTTGCTCTGGGTCATCTATGAAATAAAAAAATCAGTGCTTTGGTGAATGATTTGTACACTACAACGGCGTTTTTTCTCAGAAACTCCTAGTTTGAGCGATTTTACACTACAACGGCGACCCCAATGAGAGTCGCCGATGAGAGTAGAATAATTTATGGCAGGACTAGAAAAATTCCATTTAAAAATCCACGCACTGGTGACCTCAATAAGGTTAGAAATATTCCTTTATGAAATCCTCGGCTTCGTGACTCCAATAAGTGTCAGCCAGAAAAATAAAGCTAGAAAAATTCGACCTCATTAAGTCAACAAAAATTGCATTAAATATACGCACTTTAGGAACTCCAATGAGATAACAAAAATTCAACGGGATCCACATACACTTACCTAGCCCTCTCCTATCGCTTTTAAAAAGTCATGCTTTGTTTTTGTTTTTTCTAGTTCTCATTATTTAGCACTTTGATAATATAACTTACTACTATATTATTTGATCACAAGTCTGTCTGTCCATTTAATTGTCCATAATTTTTAATGGGAAACTCACGATTTTCACACATTTTCTTTGTTGTATGATAAAATTAACTTAAACCTATAGATTTTTTTGTTGATAAAATCAAATAAAATTTCTATTAAAAGAAATGTTCCTTACAAAGAAATCGCGATAATGGATTTGAGGATGAACAAATAATTGTTTGATTATTTGAAAATTATTAGAGGAAAAATACCAATAAAATCAAAATTTCCATACAAAGTCCATTTAAGTAACAGGTGAACAAAACTGATTGAATTCCTCACATATTGTCGAAATATTGATTTATGTTGTTAATCGCATACAAATGTAAACAACAATTTTTCTTTTAAATTAACCGGAGGGAATTTTAAATACAAATTAATAGCATCATATTTTAGTCAAGCGTATGAATAATATTTCCATTTAATTCATCATACGTCACAATCTCCGCTAACAGCATAAAGAAGAATCTTATTGTGAATGTTCATTATTTTATAAAAAAAAATAATGTAAACATTGTGATGTTTTATGAATAATAAAGGATACAACTTTTTCTTTCCAAAAAGAAAAGCAAAATTCCAATTCTATAGTGTATAGGTCAACTTTATCACTTTCATAAATTTTATTTAATAATTGCAACTTTAATACGATATTAGTATCCCAAAACCAGCTGATGTCGCTGAAAGTTATTCATTTTACTCTTCCTTTTGGCGATTTCACACTTAAACGACGTTATTATTCCCAGTAGCACCGGCGTCACTGAAATTTATATATACTCTGTAAAACATATGACTTCGAGCGATCAACGCCAAACGCCCACCTTCATAGCATATGAATGAACGTTGGTCGTGTTTACACTACAATGTCACTAATTAGCGTTAAAAACTTATAAAAACTAATTTTTTATTCTATAATTTTATATAAAATACAATATTCGTATCCCATAAACAGCTGATGTCGCTGAAAGCTATTCATACACTTCCATTTGGCGATTTTACAAATAAACGGCGTTATAATTCCCCGAAACGCCGGCGTCACTGAAATGCATGTGTGCTCTGTAAAACATATGACTTCGAGCGATCAACGCCAAACGCCCACCTTCATAGCATATGAATGAACGTTGGTCGTGTTTACACTACAATGTCACGGGCTAAAACTAATAAAAACTAATTTTTTATTCTATAATTTTATATAAAATACAATATTCGTATCCCATAAACAGCTGATGTCGCAGAAAGCTATTCATACTCTTCCATTTGGCGATTTTACACATAAACGGCGTTATAATTCCCCGAAACGCCGGCGTCACTGAAATGCATGTGTTCTCTGTAAAACATGTGACGTCGAGCGATCAACGCCAAACGCCCACCGTCATAGAATTTGAAAGAAAGTTGGTCGTGTTTACACTATCATATCACTAATTGATGACTTTATAATAGACCCTAATGTTGTTGTCAGTATAAAAAAGGGGATTTTCGCTACAAATCAAATATATAATTGCAATGCTATTGTGAATGATTTATATTACATTGTTTTTAATTTCCAATCAAATAAATTTTCAAAAATAACAGCATGATAAACCACCTATTAAAGAAGCTTCACTGTAAATTATCTGCTCATCTCAAAACGAGCTTATTCTTGTTTTTTAATCCGCCCAAAGTCTCTCTCTCTCTTATTTGTGGGCTTTTTTACTCTTAGTTTGCAAAGTCATGAGTTGTATCTTTTTTGTCTCTTCGGTGTTTTTTTTTTATTTGGCGAACGAAGAGACATGCCAAGCTTTGTTTGATCTCCACCAAATTTTGAGGTTATGCTTTCGATGATATCCCCCCATAATAAAACTTGTTTTGATTGGGTTGTTGTTGTTTTCATCACTTAATTTTGTTGTTTTTTTTTAAGTTTTCAATAAAGCTGCGTTTTTTTATTTTTTGTGGTATACACCACGAGGAAACAAAACAATAGGAAAACAAATTATTACACACAACAGTATAAAACTCTAAACAAAACCAAACAATAATAAGAATTGGATTAGGAAATGGGGGGAGGGTGGAGAAAGGGAAATGTGGATGATGAGGTAGTAAATAAAAAATGTGGTGTGGAGACGTTTGCTTGCTCTGTCTGCTGCTGCTCTCATGATCCATATAAATTGAGTACTAATGAACCTAGGAAAAGACAATAGCAACAACAACAACAACCAAGCAACAACAACCTCGTTTCCACGACAGAGGGGTCTAAAAAAACCCGAGTAAACAAGCCCATTGTGTAAAAGCAATAGGGCTGCTACAACAACAACAACAACCAAGCAACCTCAAATGTTGGGGGCAAAAATAAACAACAAATGTGCTGTTTTCTTATTCAAATTGTGGTGGTGGTGTGGTGTTTGGCAGCGGGCGTTAATACATCGTTAGGCCTGCCTGTGTCGTATCGTTTACAATTTAATCGTGCAACGACTGTGTAATGACACTCTAAATAACTTAGCTTGCACACAGATGTTGTGCTTTCTTACTGCTAGCTGTCAGTCATATCGTAGTTGTCATTGCTCTTTTTTATGCATTCTTTGTAGTTCGTTTATTTTTTATTGTCATTCTTTGCAGTTCATTTATTTACTCTCTTCTTTTTGGGTTTTCTCAAGCTAAGAAGATTACTTATTGAACTTGTTGATAAATTTTTCTTTTATTAAAGCTTTAACAAAAAAAGCTTTTTTTCAATTTTTATGATTATTTTTTGGTTTGTTTATTTTTCTTGAGTTTCTTTTCTTATAACTATCAGTTGCTTCTTGAAGAACTTTGAAAAAAAAGAAAGAAAGACAAGATAAAATAAAATAGAAACAGACAAATGAACAACTATGCAATGAAAAATGAAACTACGGTGAATATGAAACTTTGTAAGATACACTCAAACACACACACATTCATACTCCTCATACATATACAATTTATTAATTTAATTACCAGTTGTCACGTTATGGATACGTAGGTTATGTGTGAGAGAGATACAGAGCGCAAGAGAGCTGTGGCTGCTGGCGTTTACTCGACGTATTTCTACGGAATGTGTGTGTACAGTAGTTTTTTTTCTGTTTTTGTTTATTTATACCTGTCAAGTTTTTTTTTGTAGCTAGAACAATTTAACAACAATTTTGTTTATGCCCAATTAAAGGATATTTTTAGAATTTTATTTATAATTGTTTTTTTTTGTATTTTTTATTGTTGTGAAGTTTTTTTATTTGTTTGTTTTTAATTTGATAATGATTTTTGTGGGTGGTTTTACTTTTTCTCCATGCACGAAGGTTGTTATTTTTTCAGGAGGAAATAAATAACAAGTCACAATATGAATAAAAATGTTGAAATAACCCTAGATAGATAACCCTAACTCGCTTGCTAGCATCAAAACATGTTTGTGTATATATTAGGGTGGTTTCAGAATAAATTCTGAAAACATTTTGACAGCTCTCGAGGTATGATCAGGTGATACTACAATGGTAGACCTTTATAAAGAACCCAATGGTAATGTGTTTTGTATTATTTAAATTGCTTTAAATAATACATTGAATACATCTACCAAATAATATAATCATACATTTAAATTTTAATTTAATATTAGTATCACAAAAACACTTGATAACGCCGAGAGTTGCTATTATTCCTCGTTTGTTCGATTTTACACTACCATGGCGTTATTATTCCCAGAAACGCCGGCGTCATTGAAACTTATTCATACTCTGTAAACAAGTGACGTCGAGCGATCAACGCCAAACGCCCGCCGTCATAACATATGTTTGGAAGTTGGTCGTGTTTACACTACAATGTCATCACTAGTTATACATTAATCCAGTGATTTTTTCTTTCAAATGTTGAATATTATATTAATAAATAAATATCTTATTAATAAATTACTATTTCTGAATAAAATTTAGTATTAGAATGGGAGTGGGAGTGTAGAGAACAAGATACGACAAAAAATAAAATAACTTATGCAACATAATGTATAAACATGTTTTTCATCGTTTTCTAATAAATGATGTCAGGAAATTTTCAATATAAATGAAGCGGATTCACTACAAATTAAATAATTTCACATACAATTTTGACAGCTCGAGGGAGTATCAGATGATAATACCTGGTAGACTTTTATAATGACCATGATTATAATGTCTTTGTATTATTTAACTATTTATAAGGTTACAGGAAGCCGCGAACACCTTACCAAAGCACAAAAAGTATAAATTGTCATCCATTGTGATTGGATTCCATGCAGGCAGAGAATAAATTATTAGCTCAAATTTAAATCGAATCAAAAGATAAAAGATCAGCTGATCAATTTTAACTAAATCAGCTGATGTTAAGGAAGTTAACATATTAGAGATTATCTTTTACAGATGTAGCAGTTTTTTGCTACATATAAATTTCATTTGTATTAATATTATGTTTTCAGTACAATTTTTACAGTTTTTTAAGTTTTAAAAATAATTGAAAAATTAAGCCAATACCATCCGATCATACCTTTTTTATATTTCAACTTAAAAAATATATTAAAAAATCATATCATTTTTATTGGTAAAAAAATGGACAAGGGATGGACACCAAACCAAAGCTTTTGTGATTACCAATAAATAGATAGGTGAACCCTATTTTAATCTCTAGCGTGTGAATAACATTCTCATTATATTCATTATACGTCACACATTTAACGCTTTCATATAAAGAAAACGCATCTTCCACGCCTTGTCCCTCATCTTGCTTAGAAAAAAAACAACCTTCCTTTCATAAAACTAACGAAAAATATTGGCAACACTGTGGACGTCGAGCAATTAACGCCAAACGCCCGCCGCCAACACTTTGTAGTATGGCTTTTGTAATTGTCAATTAATTAATAGCTGATCCCTATTGCAATCTTACGTATGATTAATATTCCCATTTTATTCATAATACGTCACATTCAACGCTTATGTCATTACTATGTAGGTTATTGTGAATGGTTTGCATTTAAAAAATCTAAAACAAATTATGACAAAGAAGTAATATTAAAGTGGATTTTTTTTTATTTTTGGTATATGAAGGAAATAAAATGCATCTTCCACACTTGATTCCTATTTCCATTCCTGTGAAAAAAACGTAAATTTTCTGTCATAAAATTAACCACCGCCAATAATTGGTATTGGTAAAACAGCTGACGTCAAACGATCGACGCTAAACGGCTAAAGTCGCTAAATGTTATGTGCATACACGTTTGGCCGTTTTTACACCACAATACGCATTTGCTACAGTGTTGTATAGCACTAACATGATTTTATATCAATTTCATTGGATAAAATTCGAAAAAATCATGTCTAGCTTAGATTTCGATTTGTTCGCGGACTAATTTTATTCAACAATTTAATATTTTTTGTACATCCACCCTAATAAACCATGCAATTATCAAAATGCAAGGATTTTTTTTATTGTCTATTGTGATTTGTGATAACAACAGCCATTGTCAGATGATGATCTATTGATCTTTTTCTCATGGCTGATTGCCTGTCTGTCTGTGAAATTTCTACGAAATAACACCGATGTAATTGGTGGGGTTTAACAGCTGTGGAACAGTTGAGAGCACCATAGATACATTCGGCATGGCTCTCCTCCATTATAATACTGCTCAGGTGTTTTCTTGATTTCATTTTTTTTATTTTACGATTTTTTTTTTTCAAAATTCGCATAACAGCATACATATGTAGAGTGTGTTATTGGGGCGCGCACTGGTTGGTTTTTTTTAATTGTATTTCATTTCAATGACGGAAATGAATATTTTGTGTGTTGTGATTTCCCAGAGTCATATGCGCCAGCCAGATAGCTAGCTGGCTAGCTAGCCTGCTAACATGCAGGTAGAAAAATCACATTGCTCTGAAGAATTATCGACTATTGTATGTGTGTGCATAAAGCTTTTTTTTTTATTCTCCATAAAAATGCTCACACATATATGCGCATCCAAAATAAATTGAAAGCAAAAAAAGCTTCTCCTCAACTACAACACTGAGTTCATTGCCGCAAATGGGTGTGCGTGTATGTATACTCACCAAGTAATTTACCAGCAACAAATGTTGCCAGTATTTTGACTTGAAATTATTCCTCCAAAAAGATCCCCATATCCAAATTTGAGGGGGAAATAATTATTCTCAGTAAGAAACAGCTGCTTGAGAACAGCTGTTTTGATAAACAATTGACGTTGAACGGCAGACGCCAAATGCACACCGCCAATGCAGGCTTTGTAGTTTTTCTTATTGATATTGCCAATAAGAAGATTGTACTGTTCTAGGTAAACAATCAAACATTGACCGTTAGACGCCAAACGCCCACCGCCAACGCCGCATTTCACCAATGGCGGCTGTAGTTGACATAAGACGATCAGATGATCCCTATTTTACATTTTCTTTGTGGTTTTTCATAGAAATTTGGTATTTTTGGATTAATTGTGTACACAATATATAATAAAAAAACATAATAATAATAATAATAATTATTATATTTTTTATCATAAACTATTAATTTTAAGTGATAGACGCCAAACGCTGTTCTTTTAAAGTTGAGGATTTTCACAGAAATTTTCGATTTTTTGGAGCAGAAATTGTGCAACAAAAATTAAAAAACGAAAAAATATGTCCTCTCAATTTTACAGGGAGGAGCATGTTCTTCACTTCATTCGAAAAAAATCATCGGTCTTTGTATTGAGGGATTTTGTTTATCCCAACGAGGAAAACATAATTCCCATTTTAAAGTTTTCCGCAAAAAATTCTCCCAAATGGAAGAAGTAGATTCCAATTTAAAAAAATATATATATAAATAATAAATTCTTTAATAAACACCTGTCTAATGATCCTTTAAATAAAACAATCAAAAATGGTCTAAAATTCAATTGTAATTCAATTATTGTTTTTGATAAACAATTGACGTTGACCGTTAGACGCCAAACGCCCACCACCAACGCCGCATTTCATAAATGGCGGCTGTAGTTGACATGAAACGATAAAATGATCCCTATTTTTCATTTACTTTGTGGTTTTTCATAGAAGTCAGATATGTTTGGAACCCTTTCTCAAATTCAAAGTTTTTCCCCCCAAAAAATTCACCCAATTTTAAATTACCCCCCGAAATAAATTCTTCAATAAAACTAGACAGAAGTTTTATAAAATTCCATTTTTTGCAGGGCAAAAAAACAATTTGTTGCTGGGCAAAAAAAAAAAACATTTGTTGCTTGAATTCGTTCCTTTGGGGCTTGTGACTCTACATACCTAGAAGTTTTGATTTTTTTATTAGTGATGTCAAGTTCTTTTGTTTAAAAAATTACCATAAATACAAGAAATAAAAAATTTTCATATTTTACTATTTTTTTATTTAAAAATAATTAAGAAAGGTCTAAAATATTAATTATAATTGAATTGTCGTTATTGATAAACAATTGACGTTGAACGGCAGACGCCAAACGCCCGCCGCCAATGCAGGCTTTTGTAGTTGACATAAAACGATCAGATGATTGATGTTGCCAATACGAAGAGGAGTTGTACGGTTATAGGTGTTATAAAAATCCCCTATTTTTTACTGGGCAAAAACAAAATCCCCACAAATAAATGGCAACATGTGTTTTTTGTTGGTTTTACACACTACTCACCAATAAAACATGCTGCCCCCAACAAATATCCGCGCTCGCACACACCCGCATCAATACGTTCGTTTTTTTTTGTTCTCCTATTTATTATCTCTCCTCCAGACTTGTGGAATTTTGTTTTGTTCGTTCGTACTTAAACAAAAAAGGTCTTCTCTCAGTACTGCTAATACAACTACTACGGCACACCGACGACGGCGGCAAAGCTATTGGTGGGGCTGCTACTAATGAACAGAGAGAAAAAAACACTTGACTGGTTTCGTCGGTATTGAGACATGTTTTCAGCAGTTAAAATCAATTTACATTTTCAGTATAAAGTTAACATTAAAAACGCAACCACCGACGACGACAACAACGACGTGAAACGATGATGACAATATTCAACAAAAAATCACAATAATAATAAAGATATTATTTATTAAAAAATAAAGTATACAACAAAAAAGAAAATCAAAATAAATGCAAATTAAGAAGCAAAAGAAAATAATAAATTATTATATTTTTTTTATTACTATTTGTTAAATATTTTCTTTATTATAATACAATAATATCAAAGAAAAATATATATAAAAAAATAACAACGAACGAATTAACGCGCATTGTTGTATGACGACGACGACGTTTTTACATTTTTTGTCTTCTTCTTTTTTTTAATACGGGATAAGTCGTCTCGGCGTTGGTTATGATCGATCGTGTGTGTGTTTTTGTTGTTGTTATGTGTGATAGTGTGGTGCCTTTTATAAATAAAATAAAAATTATATAGAATCAATTAAAAATACAAAAAAAAACGCAACGAAAGAAAAATTACAATTGCCAATTGATGATTGTTGAATGCAATAATAATTCATAACGTCATAATTATGTATGTCAGAGACCCAATGCAGACCCCCAGGCCTTATAGTTTTTCGCAATTGTTTTGTGTTTCTGAATGTGAAACAAAATTTGTGCAATAATTTCCAACCCTCCCCTCCGTATATCTAAAATGTGGTGTTGATTGCTGTGTATTATTGTATGCATGCATGTGTGTGTGTAGTAGACCCCCAAATAACAAAAAAAACATGAAACACAAAGTCGTACCGCCGATGGAACGGATGAATGAATTGAATGGTGTATAGATACATGGATAGATAGATATATACACTTCTAATTGTAATTATATTAATTACAACAAATGATTGTTTTTGCTGCTGTTTTAATAATCCAACAAAATGTTAGCTAATAACAACCTACGTATTTTTTCTTTACTTTTCCTTCTTTGTCTTACTTGAAAAATGAAAAAAAAACTCAAAAAATATATTTGTTTAGTAAGCCATAGCTCGCTAACTTACTGTCTGCTGTCTAGTTAGTTAGTTTTTTAGCCTGTCAGCCAGCCAGTCTGTGTGTAATCATTGATTATTATATTATTAAGCTCTTTCTTCTCCATGATAATGTTAGATAACAAAGGCCATTTGGGGCTTGTGACTCTACCTAGTAGTTTTGATTTGTTTTTTTTTTTATTAGAGATGCCAGGTTTTTTTAGTCACCATATATACAAGAAATATAAAATTTTTCTTTTTATTTTATTTAAGAATAATTAAAAAATGCTCTAAAATATCCAATTATAATTGAATTATCGCTATTGATAAACAATTGACGTTGAACGGCAGACGCCAAACGCCCACCGCCAATACAGGCTTTGTAATTAACAGATGATTGATGTTGAGCATCAATTGTCAATAAGAAGAAGAGAAGTACTGTTATAGTTAAACAATTAAAATTTACCGTTAGACGCCAAACGCCCACCGCCAACGCCGCATTTCATAAATGGCGGTTGTAGTTGACATTAAACGATCAGATTATCGCTATTTTAAGTTTTCGTTGTGGATTTTCATAGAAATTTGTTATTTTTGGATTAATTGGTATTTTGGACTATTTGTTTTATTTAAAAAGTAATGAAATGTGTTATTTGTGGACAATTTATTTTATTTAAAAATAATTAAAAAATGGTGTAAATATTTTTTTTATTTTTGGACTATTTGGTATTTTTGAATAATAATATTTGGTATTTTTTAACTATTTGGTATATTTAAGAATATCTAAAAAAATTCTTAATATCAATTATTATTGAATTATCGCTATTGATAAACCAATGACGTTGAACGGCAGACGCCAAACGCCCACCGCCAATGCAGGCTTTTGTAGTTGACATAAAACGATCAGATGATTGATATTGCCAATAAGAAGAAGAGTTGTACTGTTATAGGTAAACAATCAAACATTGGCCGTTAGACGCCAAACGCCCACCGCCAACGCTGCATTTTATAAATGGACGTTGTAGTTGACATTAAATGATCTGATGATCTCTATTTTTCATTTTACTTATGATTTTTCATAGATATTTGGTATTTTTTGGACTAATTGAGGACCCAATATATAAAAAAATTAATAGAAATTATATTGTTAATCGTAAATTATTAACATTAAGTGATAGAATTATTTCTTGTAAGGCTTTTTTTTAATATATAAAACAGTCAGACGAGGATTTTCATAGAATTTATCGATTTTTTTGCAACAAAAATCGTTCATCGAAACGTAAAATTTTGGGTTTTCTTTTACATTTTTTCCATAGAAAAAAATTTGGCAAATCGAGAAAACGTCAGCTGATCGATCTACTGACACATAGACAATGTTTTTCATGAAACTGGATATTGACTGACATTACTCAAAAAAAATATATTATTGGCAATACTTTATTATGACAGATTTAAATTGTCAAATACAAACAGCTGATTTTGCTTATTGTGTGATCAGCTGTTCATAATACCGGTGATAACTTTCACTAGAGTCAATTAAAAAAATAACTCTGAAAAATTATTGTCATAGGTCCACATTTTTGTATAACAAATTTCATTTTTAAATTATCATTTTTTTTAATTCCCTTTTTTATTTTTAATACGTGCCTAAAATTCAGCAAAGTGGGCATCATCATCTCAATCAGATGTTTTTTTTTCTTTGTATGATTTTCTTCTTCTTGTTCATGATGATACTTAACCACCTATTTATTCATGGTTGTATTTTTGTTTATATGATGATGATGCTGATGAATAAATCGACAAGTTTTTTAATAGAATAGTTTTTTTGTTTATTTATAAAATCCCCACCCTACAAAAATACCCAGCATTGTTGGGTGACTAAAACAAAAACAAGATTTCAAAAATATAAATAATAATAAAAAGAACAAAATAAAATGCAAAACAAACGAGAAAACAATGAAACATAAGACAAAAAAATCATCATCAATACCCAACAACAAAAGGGAATTGAAAAAATAGAAAAAATAAAACACAAGGCAAAGCTTACGAATAAAACGACGACTTTGTGGTGATTCTCGTCGTTTAGAACACGATTTTTACACGAACAGTCAGCAGTAGTAGATTTTCAATGGATACAAAATTCCCACATTGAAGACTTTGTGCCGTCCCCCCATCTCTCCCCTCATTTCAATACAGTGTGTTCACTAATTAACAAGAGCTTAAACTCGTTAAACATGCTGAGAGAGAGTGAGAAACAGAATACGAGAGAGCCAATTCAATGAGACTCAAATAGTGTCTGATAGATTCTCGTTTTTTTATTTCAGTATTGGAAATGATATTCCTCTAAAAAACTTAAAGCTTTCA